CCGTTGTTTCTTCTCCTACCCTCAGGTGCTTTGGAGAACAGTTTGACCTCCTCTTCTTTGGGGCAGCCCCTCAAATATTGGAACACTGCTATCATGTCTCCTCTAGTCGTTCTTTTCATTAAACTAGACATACCCAGTTCCTGCAACTGTTCTTCATATGTTTTAGTCTCCAGTCCCCTAATCATCTTTGTTGCTCTTCTCTGCACTCTTTCTAGAGTTGGCCCTCAGAACAAGTGCTCATTAGATAGCAATAGTAATAGCAATAGCACTTAGATTTATATGCTGCTTCATAGTGTTTTACATCACTCTCTAAGCGGTTTACAGAGTCAGTAGTGGTAGTTAAAGTGTTACATTTGGAATGGGGAAACCCAGATTCTACTCCACCCCCATGGACATTCAGGTCATAACTTTAGGCCATTCATTTTATCTCAATCCAACCTAACTCATAGGTGGTGGTTGTTATGGGAAAATAAGTACTTGTAAAATAAAAATACTAAATAATTCTCATCTATCTCTTCCTCTTTTTGATATGGCTCCTCCTTGGTTATTTGTCTGGCTTCAACACATTCCCCCACCTGGTTTTTATTCTCCTGATCCTATTTAGGGTTTTGCTTAAATGTATAATTGCTTGAAAATGAAAGGTGTTAGGGCCATGCACGCTGTCTCCAACCTCAGTGTCTTCTCATATCATTCATTCTCTGGAATATAAAGTTCTACTCACATTCAGCAAAAAGTTATCACAATTTTCTGTCCCACCATAAGTTTGGCTTTTTTAGAGTCCAAGAGTGTGAAGACAAGCAGCATTTGCAATGCAACTATCTTAATTTTTTATTATTCTTCATTTCTAATTGGTTGTTAGAACTCCTGTGTGAAGTACTGGTTTTTGGTTTTTATTACATCAGCTTTTCTTCAGCCTGCTTCTTTCTCTGGGCCTGTTGTGCTTCATTTCCTACAAATTTCATGATGAGATTTTTTAGCCAAATTATTCATTGATCTACCTGGGAAGTTAAGAGTCAAGTTGGGTCTCCTCCAAACCTAGCTGGTCCGCATGATTTATATGAACATATGCCTGCAATTTTCTTGGTATGATAATGAAATGGTTTACTAGCGTCTTCTGGATTTTTTAAAACTTGCAATCTGGCTCACAGACTTGGAAGGTCTCCCATTTTGAGTTTCCATCCACAAATTAGCTTCCTAGATCAATCAAGGTTTATCAGATGCTGCTGTCTGTTGAGGCAGATTATCAAATATGGGATGACTGTATAATATGGAAAGTGAAACCAGGAGAATTTTCTCCTTAACGGATCAAATATGTTTGGTATTATGATACTGGCTTTCAGTAATTGGAATTGAATAGGTGCTGAGATTTATGTTCTGTTTCTCCCCAGTGATAAGCAAATGGAAATGCTTGTGTGTCTTCTGGCTAATAAGTGAGTTGGCTTTATTTCTTGAAACTTTCTCTTGCAAATGACATTGTCTAGAAAAAAAGTGCAATTTCATGTAGCATGTTTTTATGTTCCATATGCAACTTCTTGTAAACTATCTTGAAGTGTTCAGTAAGACAGTGTAAAAATGGTTAATAAATACATAAGAAAATAAATGTTCCCAGATAGATCTGAGTTTGTGATATTAACTCTTGTTTGCATTGTCATTTGTGTCTCTGACCCCCATAGGCAGGCTTCTACTTTTGCCATGCATGCTTAACATATACTAGCCATACAAATCTTTTTTTAAAAAAATTCCACAAGGATGTACATACATATGTGTGAAGGGTCAGCCTGAAGCAGCCTTTGAGGCAGCTGTGTAAGACTGAAAAAAGATGCAGCTACTTTAATGCTTTGAAGAGGTGCTTTTAACATGCAGTCCTTTATGCTGTGAAATACTTTTGTTGAAGGATTGGCACACCCTTGCCAGTTATTGATCAACCAGAAAGCTATAAAGAAAGAAAGCAAAAGTTAAGAGATTATTAATTTGTAGAGTTAAAGTACCTTTAAAACCCAGATAAAATGAAATATTGCTATGAGTATGAAATCACAGGCAATAATTATTGCTCATGGGAATGTCCTGGTCCAGGAAATGATGCATGTCTGAATATTGTTAGGGTACTGAGTGTTGCAACCATAAATAGATTTCCTTGGAGTAAATTAGCTTGAATTCAAAACACCCTTACTTAAATACTTGCACTATAAGTTCCTGCTAAAGCAATTGTGGCTCATTGAAATGTCACTGATGCTCTTAACTGGTATTCCAGTTAGATTTTTCTGGTTGCAATTGGGAAAGATTTTGTCTAAAGTTCAAATTTGGGAAATTTCTGAACTGGCAATGTCACTTGTTTTTTTTAATCTTTTCAGGGTTAAAGAAACACTCCAAAAACTGCAAAGTAGGTGAGATTGAAGTGCATAGAATATTAAATGTTTCAATCTGCTTAACCTTTGAAGCCTATGCAGGTCAGGTGGACAGATTTTATTAGAAAAAAGTTACCTAGACTCTGAACCATCCAATACTATAAAAGTAGCACCTTGAATTTTGCTTCAAAGTATGCAATTAAGTATACTTTAAAAGTATGCAGGTGCAGTTCCTGTAGCAACAGAGTAACACAGTATCAAGACTGACCAGGAAGCATATGGGTCATTTCAGTTTAGACCAACTAAGTTTTTGGTTGGTCTTTAAGACAGTCCTATGGAGAATGAGTTTATAAAAATGATATGTAGCCTGACTTCCAGAAACTCTGGGTATTTTAACATTTTTAAAAAATATTTTAAAATAGACAAAAATATAAGAAACTGCAAGAAAAAAATGGGAAGAAGAAAAAGGAAAAGGATTCACAGAGGGCTGAGTGAAAAGCCATGTCTTCAAGGCCTTTCTAAATACCAGAAGAGCCAAGGCCTTTTGAATCTAAGGGGGAATCTTATTTACAGAGAGCTGAGACTGCAACAGAGAAATCCAATGTCCTGAAAGTTATGTTATTTAATCAGTAGATTCTAGAGCATGCCAGCTCTGCCAGATTGGATCAGCTGGGCAGATATAATGGGAGACAGGTGGTTCCTCAAGCATCTTGGCTCTATGCCATGAAGGGCTTTATAGGTAGTGACCAGCATGCCCATCACTGCCTGTGCTGCTGCATTCTGAACTACTGATAGTTAAAGATTCTGGGTGGTTTTTTAGGGCAGTGCCATGTAACAGTCTAACATTCCTTTTCTTTTGCTTTTCTTAAAATATTCCTGGAAAATATTTATTTGTCAGAGTTTATTGTCTCTCTCATTATCTGTAAAACATCACTAGATGAGGAGCATGTAAATTTGATTTAAAAAATAAACAATAAAGAAAAATAACGTTTAAAAATTACCTGAATGACCAAACATGTATCTTGCTTCATTAGCCATGCAATGGCTAGACTGGTTAGCTATTCTTTCTAATGTATTTTAAACAGACTGGCTCCTGAGCCATTACAACAGTCTTTTCCAGATGGACTGGAGAATACTACAGAAAATGGTAAGGCAGAAAAGTGAACTCTTCTATTGAAAATATAGAAAGTAGTGGCTTGCTTTATTCTAATAAATTTGGCATTCATTTTGCAAAAGTAATATTTTGTCTCCCAATCCCAGTACTAAACAACAAAGGGGTTTGCTATTTTTAGGTCTGAGGAACAAAATTCATCTGTGGGATGAATCTTCCCACTGATGAATTTCTGACAGATATTCTTGGCAGTAGGTGCAGATTACAACATCACACTTTGAATCAATGTTTTTCAAATTTGGCAACTTTAAGGTATGTGGATTTCAATTCCCAGAATTCCCTAACAAGCCAATGTTGAATAAATTCATATGCAAATTCAACCCAGTTTAACAGTTATACTTCTATTCACATAATTGCAAATTTTCAAAAAGAATTACTAGTATTTTCACCAAACTAATATTTTTTTTGTGGTCACAGCAGTAGTTCTATCATATTTCTCTCTGCCATGTTATTTGTTTATCCCTTAATTGAGAAACTTTTAAAATGCAAATCTTTGGAAAAATCCCAGGTCCTTTTTAAATTTTGCTTATTTTACTTTTTTAATCAATTATTTTTCCTTCTAGTGGTAAAGAGGAATAAATGGGCAGAGGAGTTGGAAAATTTGGCAGTTTGCCTTCTGAAGATCGTAGCAATAGCTCAGGATATGCAGGTGTTTGCATGGAGATTTCTGGAGCTGCACATCCTTAAGATTGTGTCTACTTGCACTATCTGGATTACACTTCAAGAGGTTAGTAAATAACTATCTCATCTGGGAAATAGTCTAAAGAAAAACCCAGGAATTAAGGTAGGAATTCAGTCAAGAAAACAAAACAAAATAAATCTTGATATAAATATTGAAAAGAATACTCTTTTTCTTCATGAAGTTGATTTGTTAATATTTAGTACAAAATTGTATTATTAATAAATTAATAATCCAGAATGTTATTTATGTATGTTATGGGTTCTTCAAGTTACAAAGGCTCTAAAGTTTAGTTGTGATTATAAATATTGTGTGGTTCTTCATCAACATCTTGATCTTTAAATTGTATATTGTGCCTAGTTACAGATGCATCAAAAACCAAACTATTACTATGGCTAAGATTGGGGGTAAACTTTCCAACCTGGATTAGATCATCTGCTTCATTTGATCAAGACTGAAGCACAAGACTGAAAACAATTTGTTTGCAAATATGATTCCTGTTGCTTTTTCCTTTCTTTGCTTGTCTCCAATTTTTTGTAGGTGTGTTTGATGAACTACATTTTCTTTATTGTGTGGACATTTGCTATTCCTTATTCTAAATTTCGTCCCTATGCCTCAAGAATCTGTACATTTTGGTCTTGTGTGATGATCATCTGTAAAATGTTATACCAGCTGAAATTTATCAAGCCCTGGAATTATTCCTCAAACTGCACTCAGGTCAGTGTGCTAATGGGCTAAGGATCCAAATTCCTCAACCATTTTTTGTACTTCCTTGAAGATGTTCCAGCTCCCTTAATCAGATACAAAATGTTTTGCACATTGCTGATGATTAACTTAACGTTCTGCAATTTGGTAGCTTCAAGATATTTTGGAATTGCAACCCCAAAATTTCCAAGTGGTATGACTTACAGATAGTATGGATTAGAAGTGGGGAGGTGTGAAGAGAATAAATAAATGAGTGTATTTTTCTGAAATAAAATCCCCACTTTTTTTTCCCTTTGAGGGCTTTTTTTCTGTAAAAATGAAAACAAGAAGTACAATTGTATACTGTAGAGTCATTTGGCCAATAGGCTACCATATAAATTAAACATGAAATAATATACTTTTGAAAACAGAAATGTTTGGCTAATAGGATGCCATATAAATTGAATGAATGAAGAATGAATGAGTGAGTTAATAAAGTGTCCATCTCTTTAGGAACTGTATTTGAATATGACTTACCATTCTATCAATGTTGATGAGTTTTTGGAGAAATCATCTTTGTACGTGGCACCAATTGACCCAGCACTCTGGATTGGAGGACTGATGAAGTGCAGTGACAATATTCTTCTTGCTCTAAAGGTAGAACTCTATTTAGCCACTAGAATATTACAAAATGTATCCTTTTGCATATAAGACAGAGACTGTGAGATTAGTTCTTCTAATGGGAAAACTGATGTTTGTCTAATAATAATATCAGATAAACTTTGTAATATCACTTTAAAATTAGGAACAAAACTGATTTAAGACATTAGGCTATTTAAAACTGATGGTCTGTTAGATGTTCAGAAGCAGACCTAAATCATACTTTAGTACTAGTACTTGATTTCCATTCATTCACCATCAGGAGGATCATAGGAAAGATAATTATGTCTTCCATCAAAAGAGAATGATTCATGAATAATGGCCATCATAAATAAATATATACCGGTAGTTGTCTCAGTAGGGTGAGCTATTAAAGAGGAAAAACATAGATGCTTTAGGTAGGGTACTTGGGGAACTGAACTTTCTTATGAAGGATGTATTTTCCTATATTTCTTAGAACCATCTTACCATCCTGATTCTAATGGCTTTAGAAGCAACAGTGTATCGCCACCAATATTTTTACTGGACTCAGAACCAACTATTACCACCTGTCACAGGTAGCCTTTTTAATAATATTGCCCGGCAGAACTTGGATGAAGGGCTACTCAACTGCATCAAATACTTTCTCAACTATAGTTTTTACAAATTTGGACTGGAGGTGAGATAATGTTGGTAAGAAAGGACCATAGCTTCTTGGTATTGGGGAATGAGACAGGCAGCTTAGCAGACAAAATATGTTTGGTTTCAAGTAGGAAAAAATCTGATGTGGCACTAGAGAGCCAAGTGTTGTGGCAAGGGTGATGCTTTCTGACACCTGGTTCACATTGTTGATCACTTCACTTTATAGTTTTGGGAATTCCAATATAAATCCATCTGTTTTTCCTACAAACATGTAGCTAAGAGATCATATTCTTTCTGTCCAATGTTTTCAAATGTTTTGAGACTGATATCCATAATTCTTCAGCCATATTAGATTACAAAAAATTCTCCTGTGAGCATGTTAATTGGGGAATCTGGAAGTTGTAGTCGTAACAGACCTCAAAGTTACTGGATTGAGAAATACTGGAGTCACCTATATTGGATTGTACAGATGGCAAATTGCTGTCATTGGTATATCAATGTTGTACTTTCCCCTGCTTGTATATAATAATATACATTTAATGAAGTACTGTACATTTGTCTGACTATAAAGGGCAAAACACAAATTAATAGCCATAAATGCCCATAGTGAAACATTGGTTTGTTTAACAACCACGTTTGCTTAACCATCACAAGAAACATTGTGACATACCAATTATATAATAATTACAATATATGATCACAATGGGCAGACTCATTATATGTTGAGAATTACCTGTATGTGATTGCAGATTCAGTTCTTGAGCTCAGTGTTAAGTCCCTTCAACCTGGAGCCATTGTGATGTTACCTCAGCTCCCTCTTCTCCTTTTTTCAGATATGCTTTGTGGCGGCAGTTAATTTGATTGGGAAACGCATGGACCTCTATGCACTTATCCATGCCAGTTGGCTGACTTACCTGTTGAGCTATCGTGAGAGGAAAGCAATAGCCCAAATCTGGCCCAAATACTGTTTCTTCCTTGCCAGCATTGTGGCCTTTCAGTATTTGCTTTGTATTGGTCTCCCACCTGCTTTGTGCCAAGGTGAATGCAGCATTGTGTGGGGAAGCAGAGATATGTCATGTGGAGGGTAATAGCAATAATTGAGCAGAGGACTGGTTTTGCCACTTGTGTTCAGCATTTCCCTTTGCATCAAACTTGTCTGGACAGCAAATTTGTAAATTAGTTTAAGACGTTTTGTGTAATACAGTTGATCTTTTTGCTGGCAGATTATCCGTGGAGAAGTTCCCACTGGTTGTTCCCTTCAAATCTGATTAAGTGGCTTTATTTGCCTGATTTTGCTGAAAGACCCAATACTAATTTTCTCTTGTGTAAGTATAATTTGGGAAGGGTAATATTTGCTCAATGTGGAAATGTAACTTATTTTTAGGCCAATATAATTCTTGCAGGTAACAGTGATAATGACATGACATACCTAAGGTTCTCCCAGAATTGCTTGATGAGATGGATGGCAATAGAAAATTAATAAATAAATTACAGCTAAATACTCTATATACATTGCACTTGGGAAATGTGGACAAAATGGGCAATGTTATCTAGCTCAGTATTATATGTAGAATAGGTAGTAAGGTACACTCATATCGGAAAGATTACTATATTGAGAATCCAAGGAATATGGGTATCTCAGTCCAAAGCAGTGGTAGGTTGCAGACGGTACGTCCCAGTACGGGCATACTGGAGCTAGCCTGGAGCACTGGATACTGTTCCGGTACGGTGCTCTGGAGGGTCCGCCCACCCGCCCGAGCTCTTTACTGGTTTTTAAAGGCTTCTGTGCTTCCGCGCAGGTGCATGGCGCGTACAGCCCCTGCGTGATGCTCCATGGAGCAGCTGGAGCGTTGCAGAGCGTCTCAGAGGCACTAAGATGCATGAGCGCGCTGCATGTGTCCATGAGGATGCTGCTGGTCCCGTTTCAACTGTACCAGTTGGAACAGGATTTGAAACCCACCACTGATCCAAAGTATTTGTGAAGCACTAAATATCTATTCCTGATTTATATGCCCATAATTCTTTAAGATTTCAGACATGAAATTTTTCTTGTCCAGTCTGTATGAAGATCCTCTTCTTTTCCAGCAAGCAATGACTTTTGTCCTTTTAATTTAGACTGCCTATATGGCTGTGGACTTGCTCTTCATGTTCTGCAGCTCTTGCAGATTCCTGTAAAGCCTTCATCTTACTTCTATCTGGTTACTCCTGACTGCAATCTGCCAAGAAACAGCAGTGCAATTTCTTACTATTAAAAATAAAATAAAAATAGTCACAAATGAAATCAAATATATGTATCTTGCATTAAAAATAATATTTAATTTTTTTAAAGACTTAGCAAACATCCTGATAAAGGAATTTTCCCACTTCCAACCGAATGTGCCCATTCTGGAGATACTATTCCGAAATTACAATTCTTTGCTAAATTCTTTTCATTTTTTTAAAAAAATAATCTGTTTCCAAAAGATTGCCCACCCTACAGTTCAAACAAATTTCACCTTAACAAAATTCCACACTATTGTGGCAAAAAATAGGAAAAGGTATTTGATAATGAGTTACCCTACAAAGATCACTGTATATTGAATTCCATGCAGAACACATCTTCTAGCTTTTTAGTGCGTCAGTTTGTTTATATCTTTTCAGCTAGTGAATCTTTGTAAAATTAGTTTTGTTTCTTCTGGCTAACTTGTACAACTCAAGCAGCTGGTAGCAGTGAAAACAGCAGAGCTGCCTCTAAGATTCATTGTTGCAGTTTTGCTGCATTGCTGCATTGTTTTTTAGTGTTGTGGAGCATGGCCCTTTTTGTAATTGATAGCAAAATGATATTTTTGTATGGCTGTTTATTTAAACATACAGATGCTAAAAGGTGCCTTGGAGAAACATGTTATGGTAAGAAAGCAAAATTGAAACCATCTTCCAGATTTTTTTAAAAAAATGTCTTTCCTTCCTTACGATAGATGATTTCCTCCTTCTGCTTTTTGCTTCTTTCCAATGGCAAGTTTTTGAAGATGAGGATCAACCTGTAGTCAGGCTGCAAGCTGGAGATAACTCAGAGATTAATCAAGATTTGGGCCCAGCAGGGCTCAGTGAATTCAGTCGGGTACCAAACTTTATCTATTGCAGGTAAGAAATAAAGGAAAACATGTTTGGGTTTTCTCTAGGAAGCAGACCAACTTCACAATATACCGTCCTTTAGATATGTAAGATTAGAACCTTCATAATTCCTAGCTGGTACAACTATAGAAATTTGGGACTGCTTCTTAATATAATGTGGGATTTTTTCAGGTACTGATAGCAGTTGTGCTTTCCAAATTCTCCACCCCCAATGGCAGTGCCATGTCAAGGTATATGGTGCCACACATTAAATGATGGTGCCACCACCTGCTAATGCACAGGTTTTCATTTTTTGAATAATTTTGAAGAAGTGGCAGCATTGGTGGCTCCTAAATTTTGAGACCTTATGTCAATGTCTACTTGGCCTTAACCTGACTCTACCCAAAAGGCCATAGTTATAAACAAAATGGCTTTATACAGTGGGTGAATTCAACCAGCACATTCTGTAGAACCTATAGCCAATTCTGTCTTTGATTCCCTTGTTACTATACAATCTAGTTTCTATTAATTCTATTCTCATGATTTTCTTCTGAACAGATCTTATTTGGATCTGATCAAAGTGTTTATATTCAAATACCTCTTCTGGATTGCCCTTTGCCTAATTTTTATGACTGCAACAGCCAGGATCAACATCTTCTGTGTAGGCTACTTGGTTGCCTGCTTCTACTTTATGCACTTTGGACAAAGCCTTCATCTGAAGCCCCGCAGCGACATTCTTAGACCATGGGACTACTTGATTGCCTACACTACTTTGGTTATAACAGTAAAGAATCTTCTTGCTGTATGTAGTGGGTTAATGTTTGTGATCAGCTGGGTGAGGCTGGGCAAAACTATTGATTGTAAACTGCCTCAGAAAAAGAGCTAAACTACATTTCTTTCTAACAGTTCTTTAATTTGATGGAAGAATATTTGTTTATTTGTTTTGAAATGGTCTTTCAAAAGAAAAAAGAGTGCTGGTGAATTTCTCATGGTTTTGCTCTTTTTAGATATGAAGTAGATATGGAAGTCCTCTTTTTTGGCATATAAATTGATTTTCAGAGATCTGCAACCCCCATAGCTTCTTATATTTAAATCTTAAAGGAATTTGATTTGATCCCAAGGACATTTTCTTAAGAAATTTCTCCCATTGGGCATCTTTGAAATTGAGAAGTTAGGATGGCTAAGGAAGCTTGAGAATTATGGAAAGTTATGCAGTAGAAAACAACAGAGATAGAAATTCCAAAATTAACTAGGCTTCAAAATACCAAGAAGAGAAAATTAAAGGAAATTCTCAAGCATTCTAAGGTAGAAAAGGAGAAGTTTAAGTCTCTTTTTAGGGGTAGTGTGAGAAATGTCAATATATTGGCAGCCACTTAAGAAGTATAGTTTGGAATCACTGTTGAGGCAGAGGCAATTTAAATGCAATACATTGTAATTTTCATTGGAAAAGACATGTCATAATTCTTAATATAATTATAATTCTTATAATTCTTAAAGGGATGCAGTACAACTGGTTGCAGAGGTTGGAATTATGCGGCTTCCAACATGCTTTTTCAAAATCTAAAGGAGAAATACATGATAGGTGGTTATTCATGATAACTGATAAAACATCTGGAGCCCTAATCCCTGCTAAATTATTCCATTTCCTCCCTTCTCTTTTTCTACAGGTTGGAGCATGTGCATACCTTAATAAATTACAAATAAATTATTGTTGGCTAATTCAGATCTTTGCTATGTATTGCACAATACCAGGATATAATGTAGGTAAGTGGGAAGAGAATCTTTATATTATAAGGAATCCCAAATGTTCCTTAAAGAAAATTATGGATCTTTACTTCCTGAGTATGTGTGTGTTAAATTGTAAGACTAGGAGTGGAGAGATTCAAATTCTTGTCCTCTCTTGGGCACAAAAGCCAAATGAGTGACTTTGGGACATTTCCCTCAGCCTGGGACTAAAAACAGAGGTGGGTTCCTATGGTTCACACTGGTCCGGTGGAACCGGTAATGGAAATGGCAACTGGGTCACTGAACCAATAGGGACGGCATGCTTGCCACGCCCCTGAAGTGGTTCCCCGGTTGCCGCTACATCTTTTTTGGACATTTTTAATGTTCTGCGCATGCGCAGACCTATTTATAGCCAACTGTGCATGTGCATGGAACCAGCAGAAATGCTGGCAGAAATCAATCCCTGACTAGAAAGTCAAAATAATCTATTTACTGACCTGCACTGGACCTGGATGGTAGATTATAGTCCTTCAGTGTAGTGATCTTAATCCAAAGCAACCACTTCACGAATGCATGGCACAACTTAGGAGAAAAAAACCTATCATGACAGAATTCAGCAGTCCTTCTGCATTTGAAAGACAATGGCTACTCTTTTGAAGACAGCGAAGTCCACATTCTGGACAGAGAGGACCATTGGTTTTAAAAAGGGGTCAAAGAGGGCATCTACATTAAAATTGAACAGCCCTTTCTCAGAAGAGAAGGAGGAATACGACACCACCCATTTACATGTTTATAACACAGTCCTTTCAGCAGTTCCAAGAAGGTTCCACACCCATTTGCATTGTTCAGGTGAGGGCACATATAAAACTCGAAGTGGCCTCAATGACTCTCAGAGAGAGTGCTAATGACCAGATGACTGCAAGGAATATAAATCCTTCCATTCTCCACCATTCAGTTGGAACTAAAGAAGCTTCTTGGATGAGAAGCAAAACATCTTCAAGAAAAAACAACAAAAGCCCAGAAGCCTTTTGAAAAAGCACTTTTGGGTTCCCTTAGCATGAACACTTAATACTGGTACGATAATGATTATGACTCTTGCCATGAAAAACAATATATACAAATTTGTTTTTTAGGTGGTAACTTGTAAATCATCCAGTTTCCCTACAGCAGGATGTCAAACCTGTGTCATCATGGCAAAGTCATGTGACTTATCGGAACTTTTTTCCCCTTCGCTAAACGGGATGTGGGCATGGCCAGCATGTGACACATCCTGCCTGAGGACCATGAGTTTGACAGTCCTGTCCTACAGGAAGAATCATGTTGTTGTTGTTAATATTATCAGATTTATACAATTTGCATTTTGTGCAATGTAATGTGAATATTGTGGAGATCATAAATGAAACTTTGTTTTTCAGAGATAGTGAGGATAAATTTAGCTCTCGAAAAGAAAACAAGTCAGAAACTATGTTTACTCTTTCATTTTTTTTAATCCACAAAATAAAACAAATAAATACATTATGTCTTCTCTATCACATTCTATGGATAAAATTTCACAAAACTTAAAATATGTCCTATTGTTAAGTAACTCTAACCCTCAACAGAGAAGATATTTTTCACAGAAATAATCCAAGCTATCATCTTCCATACATTTGATTCAAGGGACAGTGTCCTTTTAGTTAAGCTTTATTACTGGTGAAAATAAAGTTGCTATTTTCTTGGTAATGATACAGAAAAGATTTACCATTGTTTTCTTTCAGGATATATTTTTCAATTTCCAATCTAGTCTAAAGTCTTGGGAGTTCTTGGTAGTCTCTTATTCATCCTTGGTATGTTCCCAACTTTCATCAGCCTTTCAAGATTAGCTACAGAACCTGTTCAAGAACCTTGCTTTTTTGCTTAGGCAACATGAATCTCCTGAATCTATACAACATATTTATAAAAATCAGTTGAATCTTGTATAGCTGATGTACATTACTATTTATGAAGGCTGTCATAATTTAATGTACCAGTGGAGAAGTTTCTAGCCATCTATATCAACCTGCAACTCTTGAACAAGCACAACAGATGAATGAGTACAGGCAACTACTTTCAGAATAATTATCTGTCTTATGCCAGATAAGAGTTCTTGTCTAGCTACCTATTGTGACTGGCCACTGCCTTTTTCCCAAGAACTCAGGAACAATTGAGTGTAAGCTCTTTTGCATGGAAATCAACCATTCTTCCATATACATACATACATACATACATACATACATACATACATACATACATACATACGGATGCCTCTAGTGACATATACACATACAAATGGGAAGATTAGAGAAAGAAAATAATAATTAAAAACCTTTCTGCCAGTTTCAGTCCTGAAATCTTCTATTCTGCACAGATCCACCTAATGATGAGATATGTGAATTGCCCAAGGATGAAGCAGGAATCCTGTGGGATGCAGTATGTTTCACAGTCTTACTGATTCAGAGAAGAGTTTTTATGAGCTACTATTATCTCTATATTGTGACTGATCTCAAGACTACAGATTTCTTAGCCTCCAGGTATTTATCAATATTATTTGAATTTACAACAATATTGCATTTGGTTATTGGAAGTGGAGATGGAAACAAGGCTAAGAATGGATGATTAACTGATGTAACTAACATCTAAGCAGATAACTGACATGAACAAAGTGAGATATTAGCATATCTAGTGCCCTGAAAATTTTAACATTTCCTTAAGAGTTATTATCCATTTCCCAGTTTAAGCTTTTCTTTAACTTACTAGAGAAACTGGTGACTATGTCATTCTAATCACATGACACATCACACGCTTAAAAGGAACTATCTCCTTTATGATCCTTAGAAAATAATATTCTGATGTTTTGGAGAATTTAAATTTTTATAAATGCAGTTGTCTAATAAATTGCTTATTATTAATGGATTCTGATTTTTTTAATTGGTTGGCATATATATGTACATAAATGGCTTGATTTATAATTTTTTTCTGCTTGAAGTATACTTAATTAAATTTTAAAATTGCTTTTTCAACCTAATGATTTTTACATTTACTGGAATGACAATGTCTAAAATTCTCAGTAATTGCAGGGATTTTCATAGTTTGTGTTTGTGTTAGGGAATTTCAGTTTATGCTGCCTGAAAATTCTGGGAATTTCAACCCCACATATTTGAAGGATCCAGCCTAAGAACATAAGAGTTCTGCCAAAATGAAAGGGAGTTGATTCCCAAACAGCAAAGACTGAGCATGTTTATTGGCTATTGTTGATTATTGTTGGAAGCGGAAAAAAAGTCACATGGTACAGACAATAGAAAGGAATAGGTGTATTTGATGCTTTAAAATTTTGTTGCAGATTCCTCTGCTTTTAGTGATATTAATTACATGGTTCCTTTGCTTATACATCTATCTGAATATTATCAATATTGATAATCAAGTCTGTGAGCTTCATGGGTTTCCTATAAAGGCAGCTTGCTGGCTACCATTCTAATGCAGAAAAAAAAGTAATGGTGGATAAATTAGATCCTTGATCTACTAAGGCAAAATTTTGGAAATATTGTTCCAACTTGTTTTTCAAAACAGGGCGGCTGAGATGTTTGAGTTGAAGCTGAAAAAAAGGGTGAATTCTCGGATGGAAGAAAATAGAAAATCAATGGAAATCATGAAAAAGCAGTAAGTTTCTTCATTCAGTTGCACTATCAAAAAAAAATACCTAGGAAATATGACAAATCTATTTTCTTCTGAGGTACTCAGTTGGGAAAGATGGTAAAGATGGCTCTTCAGCTTAAAGGCAAAAAGTTTCAGTTTAGTATGTCAATATCTTTAATGTTACCCATTTAGGCTGGATAGCTTTCAATCAGATTGTTCTTTATGACCAGACGTATTGGATAGATATTTTGTCTTTCTTTCCTAAATTTTATTTTTGTGACAGCTTTTTGTTCAGCTGTAACATATACTGTAGTTATCATATACAATATATTCATGAGATAAAGTTTGTGAAACTTGAGACAATTTACAAATAAAAATACATATTTATTATTGTCTTCGGTAGTCCAAAGAAGTCTGCAAGTTTAAATCCATATCATAACAACAATAAATACTTACAGCTAGTGTGAGTTAATATCCCCCCCCCCAGTCTTCTCAGTGAAAGGATTTTGATATATGTAAAGATGCTAAATGGAATTTTTTTTATTATTTTGTTTATTTTGTTTTTTATACATGTGAAATCGCATTACATTGAAATCTAACACATAGTATATATCCCCCCTTCCCCCCTAACACCCCCCCTCCCTCCCCCCCCCAACTTCCCAGAGCCCGTACACGGTATAGATTTTTAACAAACATAGTCTAAAATATATTGAGACAAAAGAAATAAAAAAAGAAGTTAATAACATCTCTACATTGAACTCAGCTTCTTCCTGTTACACTAACTTTGAACAGTTTAAATTATTCCTGATCTTAAGCATAGGCTATCTGGAATTTCTTAGTCCCATATTTGTTTTGTATATAGTCAATCCATTTTTTCCAGTCTCGTTTATATCTCTCATTTGAATGATCTTTAAGATATGCCGATATTTTAGCCATCTCGGCTAAGTTTGTAACTTTCAATGTCCATTCTTGAGTTGTAGGCAAGTCTTCCTTCTTCCAGTATTGCGCCACCAACAGTCTTGCTGCCGTTATTAGGTGCAGAACCAAGTTAGTCTCTACCACTGTAAAGTCAGTACATATACCTAGTAAAAATAACTGAGGAGTAAACTTTATCCTTCTTTTAAAGATATTTTGCATAATCCACCATATTTTTATCCAAAATGCCTTAACCTCTTGACAGGTCCACCATATATGAAAATATGTAGCATCGAGAGAACCACACCTCCAACATTTAGGCTGTACATTCGGATACATAGAAGCCAGCTTTTTAGGATCTAAATGCCATCTATAGAACATCTTATAAAAATTTTCTCTCAGGTTTTGAGCTTGTGTAAATTTCACATTTCTTACCCATATTCTTTCCCATGTATCCAACATTATTGGTTCTTCAATATTTTGAGCCCATTTTATCATACAATCTTTAACTAATTCTGTTTCCGAATCCATCTGTATTAGTACATTATATATCCTCTTTATATGCATTAAGCTTTGATCTCTTATTTGTTTAAACAAATTATCCTCAACTTGGATAAAACCACTTTTTGATCTATTTTCCACATGGCCTGTAATTGTCCATACTGGAACCATGTTTGAACTACCTTCTCCTCTTTTAACACCTCTAAAGATTTTAGTTGTAGTACCCCCCTTTCCAAAGTGAGAAGCTGTCTGTAGGTAGTTCTATCCTGTTTTTGTGCTATATTCATATTTTCAATTGCATGTCTAGGAATTGCCCACATGGGTATCTTGTCATTTAATTTATATTGGTATTTTTTCCAGACCTGCAGTAAAGCATTTCTTAAAATATGACTTTTAAAATTCTTATCCAATTTTTTGTTGAATAACAGGTAAGCATGCTAAATGGAAATTATGGTCCTTGATAGCACTCACCTGCAAATATGGAAGTATGGTCTATATTATTGGTAAAAGAAATAAGCTTAAATTTCAGACATCTTGTACTTTAGGCTTCATTGGAAGAATACATGCTCAGTCCTGCACAGGCAAGCAAGAGAAGCCCACAAAAGAAAGAAAGGAGAGAAACGTAATACTAGCATAATTAGCATAAAACTCTCAGCTATATTGGTATAAAAGCAGACTTGACTTTCTTTGGAGGTAGGAAATCACCTGTTCTTTTGTGGGTTTTTTTTAGGATGGACCTGATTAAACCAAAATTTAAAAACCAAAGCTCCTGCAAAGTATTAGAAACAGAGTCTGATCAGAAATTGGATGAGGAGGATCCAGGTAAAAACCCTCATTTTTTTCACAAAACATCTAAGCCTTATTGCTTAGAAAAATTTGAATATCCCAAACCTTTTGCAACCTTCTAACAAACAAAGTCAATGGGGAAATCAGATCCACTTAACCGAGTTATTAACTTAACAAATGTGTTGATTCATTTAACAATCATGGCAAGAAAAATCTTAAAATGAGGCAAAACTCACTTAACAAATGTCTCACTTAGCAACATAAAGGAAAATATCTTTAATGTCACCCATGTAGGCTGGAAAGCTTTCAATCAGATTGTTCTTGGTGAAGTATTGGATAGATATTTTATCTTTCTTTCCTAAATTTCTGTTTATCTTGAAAAGAAATGACACTAAAATTACATGGCTATTTTGGTAATGATGGCACTCTCAAATTCTGCTGTTGCTGCTATGACTGTATTAGCCACAATGTTTGTGTGACAATGTCATTTGCACATCATCACTTACCCCCTGACCCTATGGATGCCCATGCTTGGTCATGAAGTCTGGGGATTCTGGGAACTCCAACTTCAACATATCTGGAGAGTCACAGGTTGGGTAAAGTTTCTCTATTTTTTCTTAAGGCACTTTTTACTGAGTAATTCTTTTTGTCTTTTCTACAGGAGATGATATCAGCAAGATGGAAAAAGGGAATAAAAAGAATTGGTGGCAGCCGTGGGTGACACATAATTCAGGTACATTACCTGTGTTTACTAATAAAAAGTCTATTTACCAGGTGTCCCCATTGAAGAGAATGTTTCTTCTTTTCAACTTGTCCTTCTTGGTTTGTTTGATGTTTATGCTATAAAATGATTATTGCTAGATTTGAAAAGCATGAACAATGAATTAAATCAGTTGCTTAAAACATTTTGGTGCATCAGAAAGATGTATTTGATTCAATAGTCCAACTTTCAAAAAATTGTAATGCAAAGGACTTACAAAAATATGTGTGTCATCTTTAGGTACTGCATTTAACTCTCTTATGCAAGTACAGTAGCTTAACAGTGAAATGTTTGGCTAAACAATTACAGTTTTCCCTTTTCTACCTAATTTTCTTCTGATGGATTGAGCTACAATTGGCTTGAATAGAGGGGAGTTGAAATTAATTCCATCTGCAGGACACCAGGTTAGATAAAAAGCTGTTTTAATTGGTTTCACTATTTGTAAGTAAGCAATGTGGCAAAGGAACTGCAATCTTTGAGGAGCAGAAAACTTGACTGAAAAATCCGAGTTTTAGCCGTGTGGCACTTAATTCCATAAGAGCTTTTGAATATCTGGATTTCTTGTCAATTTCAGTGGTTCGAAGTGGGAGCTATTACCTTTTTGATACAGATAGTGAAGATGAAGAAGAAGAACATGAACACTCTGAAAAGAGCAAAAAAGAATTATTTAAAAAGAAAACAGCATGGCAGGTGTGTCCAATTTTTGAAGGGGAAAAAACTGTGCTGGGGAAGTGACTGAGAGCTAGTGGAAATGGCATATAGGCATCTAGTTATTTTTAAATTGTAGGCTAAAACTATTCATTCAGGCTTTGTGGGAATACAGTTCTGTACCCTTGACTTACAATCATTCCTTTAGCAACCAATCAAAGTTACAATGGCACTGAAAACATTACTTACATCCGATCCTCGCATTTACAACCATTGCAGCATTCCCATGGTCATGAGATCAAAATTTGGGTGCACTGCAGTGGCGGATTGCCAATTTTTTTACTACTGGTTTGAGCGCATTTGCGTGTGCTCGCACATATACACAATGCTTCTGTGCACAGAAGCGTCCAGATGGGTGGGCAGAGCCTCCTGCCACCACTACTACAGGTTCACCCAATCTGGGCTGAACCAGGAACAACCCACCTCTGGTGCACTGCAACCCAAATTACAGTATTGCAATGTCACATGATGGCCATTTGCAAACTAGTTCTAGTTTAAGTTTAAGAGAAAGAAGGACTAGGGGAGACATGATAGCAGTCTTCCAATATCTCAGGGGTTGCCACAAAGAAGAGGGAGTCAAACTATTCTCCAAGGCACCTGAGGGTAGAACAAGAAGCAATGGGTGGAAACTAATCAAGGAGAGAAGCAACTTAGAACTGAGGAGAAATTTCCTGACAGTTAGAACAATTAATCAGTGGAACAGCTTGCCTCCAGAAGTTGTGAATGCCCCAACACTAGAAGTCTTTAAGAAGATGTTGGATAGCCATTTGTCTGAAATGGTATAGGGTTTCCTGCCTAGGCAGGGAGTTGGACTAGAAGACCTCCAAGGTCCCTTCCAATTCTGCTATTGTATTGTATTGTAAACTTCCAGCTGACGTCTGATGAGCAAAATCAATGGGGAAGTCAGATTCACTTAACTGTGAATCTTAACAACTGCACAATTCATTTAACAATTGCCTCATGTTAATGGATGACCTCTCCTAATGGCTTCAGCAGTGGTTAAACTGAGGAGACGAACTAGATGTATTTTCTTTCAGTACATCAATTTTATTCTATGTTTTGACTGTTTTACAAAACCCACCATTTTGTTTAAAGGCAGCTAGAAATTCAGTAGAAGATAATTTAATATATTTTACCCCAGGTTAGTCATTGCTCAATAAGATTCTGTCCTCTTTGTAGCTTGCATATGAAGCCTGGATGAGCAATGCAAAATCAGCTCTAAATATGAGAGAGCAAGATGAAATTAGAAGTCAAAGAAATAAAAAGAAGGAGGAATGGAAAAATGAGCAATTACGAGGGGTTGAAAGAGGTAGGAGTCCTTTTACACATGCTGTTATTTTCACTAGATTATACCATGATTGGTTAGAAGTGGAAAATACTATATTTTAAATCATCCCCCACCTCTTATTAATATATATTTTTACAACATTTCACAAAAATAAAGTTCTTGTTGATGGAAAGGTGAAAACCTCAATATACAACTTCATCAAGGGCATTGGCCTGAAACATAATTCTAGGACACTGTTCTGATTTTTGTTTTGTTTTGTTTTTGTTTTGTTTTGTGTGTTTAGCTAATGTCAGTTTGGAATCCTCTGATGAAAATATAGAGATACTGGCTTCTGAAGAGGACTTGGATAAGTCAGGTAATTAATTCCATTGTACAGAAATCATTAGCATACAAATTAATGAGTCAATCATCTATCTCTCATGTAGGTCACAGGTGAGTAACCATCAGGGCTAATTCAGATTTCCAGTCTTGGAATGGTGGCAAGAAGGCCATGCCATCAAAGGTGACGGGGCATAAAGCAGGGGAATCCACCAATGAGGATCCACCAATGTGCTAATTGCAGTTGAGACAGGACACCTGGCCATTATTCTATATAATTTGGGATTTCTTAAGATGTTTTCATTTCTAGTTTATGCATGGGAGCAAGCAGCCAATTTGCTACAGTGTACAAATGTCCTGCAACTTAAATTTTAATGGTTTTAATTTCATAATAGTGATGGTGGTGATATGTCTATGATGCTTTAGGGGCAGATTCTACATTCAATTTTGAGTCAATAGGCTCCAGCTTACCATATCTACCAAGAATAATCATGATTTTCTATTTCATTATTATTCCATGTAGCTCCAACTTTATTATCTTGTTAATATTATATTGCAGATATAATGGTTTTGGAATTTTAACTGTGATCAAGCAGGTGTAATAAAATTGTCAATGGAGATATGGAGATATCCATGGATATCACATTAAGTGCATTTTTTCACTTTCATCTTTTCACTATCAATCTTTAATAATTGATAGCAATTATTAAAAGCATAAGCAAGGGAGGTATTTAACTCTTTCTTCTCCTGGTGAAATCACAGTGACAGTTTGAGAGTATTTCCCCCCAAAGTAAGTATCAACTTCAGAGAAAAGGTTTTCTTAGGGAATGTAGCAGGATACACAGATAATTTTTTCTCTCTCTGTAGCTCCACCAGATTAATTAATACTATTTGCATTTTGAAGAGAAAGATACATTTGATATCACTTCTAAAGTAACTTTCAAATAGCTATAAACTGAAAGAATACCAATGCCAATAAATGTATGGTATCTGTTAGAGGACAAATAAATCAGATTATAACATGAATATACAAAATACAGAATAAAATGCAGACAGATGCTGTCACTGTTAGAGATTGAAACAATTCTCTATATGTATATGAGTATTCCTGAGAGCAAATTAGTGAAGCAGTTTTTATAACTATAATATGAGGGTTACACTCCAAGCTTTGCAGATTCCTAAAGGGTCTTCAGAATTGGAATGATGTTGGGCTCTCAGTTTTTCTCATAGTAAGATGCTTGTTCTCTTCACAACAGAAAGTATTGTGCAAAGAATAATCAACATTATTAAGCTTATCTCCATCTTGATGCGTGCATTGATGGATGGTATTATAGAAGCCCTTAATTCCCTCGTTAAAGATAATTTGGACATTGCTGATGCATTGAGATTCGAAAAATATATTCTTTGGCAACAGGTGAACAAGGTAAGATTTCTGGATTTTGAAATAGTGTAGCTTACATTCTGTTTATAGAGGCTTTGTGTTTTAGTTGCAATTTTAATTTAAGAAACGGGAATTGAATTTTATTATTTTTACTGGGCTTAGTTGTATTGTTGCTGGTTGATATCAACTCATGGTTACTTTGAAGATAGTTGTCCTGAATTGCATTTGGTGTCCAGTCAGATGGCCAATCATTGCTGGAGTGACTGCTTTCAGACTGCTAGAGTGAATTCAGCAAGTATAAATGTAGAATTCATGGGACATTGTGGTACTATGTTTGGAATATATGGTGTTGTGCAATTTATTATGTTTTTACTATCAGGAATAAGATAGGCAGCTGTATGCATTTCTCAATGTATATTGTGGGCAATGCTAGTTAGCATTGACTAACTACTATTTTGTAGTAAAGACAGTGGAATGTGTTGAGGAGCTTTTCTCTTCACTGTGACGTTCTGCATTTCATGTAACATGTCAATTCCAGATAATACTATTTTCTTTTGCGCTTTCATGGATCAAAGCAATCCCATTTAATTATCCTTTACTGCTCTCCTTCCACCCAATTAACTGTGCTCTGGATTATTTTCTAAAGGGAAATGAGGTTTCAGCAGATATGGTTCTACAGCATTACAGATTTGAGAATAATCAGCCAGTTTACAGCGAATATAAAGCCAAAGTAATAGGAACTGAGGAAAGCCAAGGCAAGGTATCTGAATCTTCACCGACTGAGAATACTGAGCCTTTATCTGTGCAATTCAGGTAAGAAGTAATTGCTTGTCATAAGGTGGAAACCTCCAGTATTTTTTCTTCAGGTTTTTGTAATGTTCCTACACATTAGGAAATAGATTGTGATGTTGGGAAACAGATAATGTAGATTTATATATATACTTGAATCTGTAGAATCTCTTTTGGCCATTAAAAATCAATGGAACATAACCACAAAGACATTATCTCGGCTTTTATCTTTCATCCTTTAAAGCAGTATTTGTCAACCTCAGCAACTTTAAGATGTGTGGACTTTCAACTGCCAGAATTCCATAAACAGCATGCTACTTGACAATTCTGGGAGTTAAGTTCACACATCTTAAAGTTGCCAAGGTTTAGGAATGCTGTCTTTAAAGCAAAGAGTGCTGGCAGTCTTCACACTGCAGGTGCATATTGCTTCTACCAACATATAAAAGGTGTATGCAAGAAAATCCTTTTGATAGAAAAGGAGCATGCAGACACAGACAGCTGTGGTGCACAAAAATTACATCAAAATGATGAAATGCACTGTGATGTCATGGTGCACTTCCATCCATTGCATATTTACAACCTTTGTACATGTTGATACACGCAGAAACATTGCAATATGACACTGTGTTTCATCACAGAGATTTTTCTTGGCTCTTCCACCAAGCACTAGGATAGGGAGAAGTCAGATTTGGAAGGTAGCAGCCTTGGCTGCATAATAGAAGTGGTTTTGATGCCAGGTTTTTCTTTATGTTTAATTATTTGTTTGTTTTTGCTTTTATTGTCCCCCCCCCTTATATAATGGTTCAGAACTGTGCTTTTAGAATGGGCAGCCACAAGAGTTTGAGGATTTCTACACTGGGCAGGTCACAACTAGATGATTTCCAAACGCATTGGACAGTGTGAGGTTGACTAGATGATCTCAAATATCCCTTACAAAGCTATAATTTTTTGATGTGATTCCCACACAGAACCTACACCGAAAAGGACCCATTTTCCCATTTTTTGGTACTTTGCTTTTTTAGATTTTTCAACTTGGCTTTGAACAAAGGTTAAGTCACCAAATATGTGGTCTCTCCCAGTCTAACTATACTGGGTAGTAAAACAGAATTTTTTAATGGTGAGATCTTTACTTTGGAGACCAAATATGGAATTTCTCAGCAAAGAAATATTGTCTGCCATCATTCTAAAAGAGGACTCAAATGTCCGAAGTTATCAAGAAGCTTGTTTCCCCTGATTTTTGTTTGCACAAATCCTTGATGGTTAAAATCCTTCAGAAGTGAAGGATAATGAATTGTTTTTAACAGCTCTTTGGAAGAAGAGCCATTGTGAAAATGCCTCTCAGTCTTGGAGCTACTAAAAGACTTCTGGGCAATGTTTTATGTCTTTGGAAATCAGGAAATCCAGTGAAACTGACAAAGATGTAATGGGGAGTGAGAAGATAGAAGTGGGAAATGAAAAAGAAGCCCTCTCCCAAAGATTCACTCTGATCACTTCCTGGGCAGAACCTGCCGTTCTTTCCATCTCTCCATCAGAAATTCAAGAGTGTGCAGATTCCTTGTTCACTAGAAGTCCAAAAGCCAACAAGCCATTAGATGAAATATCTCCTATGATGACAACCACTGAGCTGGTGCTTAACAGGCAAGGCATATCTCATTATGCTTTTATTAAAACTGCCTTCTGACCTCACTTTGCTTTTTAATAGCATGAATTCAAGATTGCAAAATCCTTAGGTCCACAATATTTCAGTGAGTGCCTCTTGTTCACTGTTCTGACATAACCCAGAGCAGACATCTCAAAGTTCCATTTTGTTCTCCAACATACAGGGTGAAATGCCAAGATTCACAATTCCACATTTGGATGACTTCAGCTGTGAAAGGCTGACCTAGTACCTTAACAATCCCCAGTATGGGGAAAATGAAAGAGATGTTCATGATGAACTGTATCAAAAGTTCAAGATATCACTTATTCTATAATATATTTATGCTGGCATATATTATTTTAGTTACAATTATTAATTGTGAGCTACAGTAGTTTGTTTTAGTGGTTAAGGAATCAACTAGAAACAGGAGACGGTGAGTTGTCCTGTCTTAGCCATGAAAGCTGTCTGGATGACTCTTTCTAAGCCCATAATGTCAGCCTCATGCAACAAAATAGTTGGTTAATTCTTGTCACAACCAATGGATTAATATTTACTTGTTCCAAAAATAGAACCCTGCATCTAAGGGAAAATGCTAAGAAGGGGAAATAAGTTACCGTAGTTAATGACATTTCTTTTGTGCTTTTTCCTTAAATATGGTCTAGCATTCTTCATGACAATGAACTGGAACAGTCAGATACATTTTACCAGTGCCTTCCTTGCCTCTTGAAGCTGGGAGTTGCTTTGTACCATGTTATGATCTCTTCATCAGAAATGCTTTGTTATTTTGTTATCATTGTCAACCACATGGTTTCTGCTTCCATTCTTACTTTGGTTCTCTCCATCTTGATATTCCTGTGGCCTATGTTGTCCTTTCCAAGGCCTACCAAATTCTTCTGGATGACGGCAATCATTTACACTGAGGTAAGTCTTGCTGCATTTAGTTGCTGTACTCTTCTCTGTATATCATTTTCATTCCCCTTTGAGCTTCACTGAAATAAAAAAACTGGGAAGCCTACCTGGGAATCTTAGTCTCTGACTTGGAAGCAACTACTGGCCGCATTGGAAAGAAAGAAAACTATAACAGAACATAGTACAAGGTCTCAAGCAAAAAGGAGGAAAACAAAACTTTTTGTTAGCATCTTCAAACACAGGCCTTTGAATAAATGGTGATTTGTATCTGGAATATATGTCCTCCTGCTAATTATCCTGGGAAAACACATGGATAAGAGTGAAAAACACTGATTTCAGCTGAATCCTACAAGATAAATTTTAATATTGTCTCACAGTTTTTATTGACTTTCTCCTTTGAAAAGATGATCATTAAATAAGCAGGAGAAAAATATGAAGCCTGTGTCGTAGAACAGACCACTACCCCACTTTAGCATTGCTCACTGTTTTAGAAATCTTGAAGAATTATCATTTTATAATAATAATACATCTACATATGTTTCCTTCTTCTGCCAGATAATGATTGTGATCAAATGTATTTCCCAATTTGGATTCTTTCCTTGGTCTTCTAAGCTATATTGCAGTATCAGTGCAGAAGCACCATTTGCCTTGCCAAATATAATTGGGATTGAGAAGAAAGATGGATATGCACAATATGATCTGGTGCAGCTCCTAGCCTTGTTCTTGCACAGGTACATCTTGAAGGTACTGCAAACTATCCTTAATAAGGAAAAAAGACCTTAATCTGCCCTTTCAAGCATGGATTTGTTAACATGTAATACAGCGGATGTCTATGATAACATCAGAAGAGTCCTATAAATCCTAAACCTATCTAGTCCAGTAACTTATCCCTACAGTGATTTTGATCACCTTTGGTGTCTGGTCACTTTTCTGTAGTGATCAACCTTGTCCCACCAGAAGAACATTGATGCAATAGAGAGTGATACACTGATACTCATGTTTTCTAGCAGATGGAAATGTCATTGCAAATATATTACCTTTGCAGCTAATATAGAACTATCACACCCATTGGCAGCCTTATGCTCCATTAATTTCTTTAACTTCCCAGCTTCTGGAAACAAATAATTCTATAGTTTGGCCAAACATTTTGTAACAGAACATTTCTTTTAGTCTCTCCTGAGTAGCCAGTCATCTTGTAGTATCATTGAGAAAGATAGATGTCCCTTGCTCTGGAGAATATTCATACTGGGTATAATTCTTTACACCTTTCTTTCTTTTCCCAATTATTTCCTTTTTTCAACTAAAATCTCCCAAGCCGTAATTTTTAATACAAAACTCTGACTGAAGTTTCCCTAATTCTACAATAGACGTGTCCTAGATCAAATGAATCAGTCAATGTTATGGTCATAATATTTGAAAGAACATCTCTTCAAATGTTTTTCTCTCCTAAAGTATCAAATACCGAAATTTGGGTGGTTACTTGACTGGCAACTTTCTTCATGAAAGGTCCAATTATTTTTCCTGCTCTGTGCTCTGACATATATGGGAATTATGCATGTACAGACCCAGCATTCTCTTTCACTTCTTTTAAATGTGGTTTTAAGATTCGCACATGTAATAACTTTCACTTTGCTTTGTCCCACAGTGTCAAGGTCTCTGGGATTCTAAAATACTAGATCCTAAACAAAAGGACATGGCCAAGAAATCTAAGAAGAAAGGTTGCAAAGGTCATTCGAAGGACCATCAGTCTAGCTCAGAAGGATGGCATCTCTCTAGGAACATTTTTAAGAGGGCTAAAAGAGGTAGATAAATGCAAATATGTGGACAAAATATCTTTACTATGAGAAGAGGAGAGGAAGAGAAAAGGATAATTCTGTCCCTCCTGATCAGCCGGAAGAATAAAAGTCAAAAATATACTAATAAAACAAGAGCTGGAAAATTGAACATTTCATTGCTGGAGTGGAAGAAGCTAACAGCAGCTTCCTACTCAGTCAAAATGAATATAATTCTATAATCAAAAGCCTAGTTATATTTTAGCACCTTATATATGTCCTTGATTTAAATTCACTCTAAGTTCTGACAGAAATATAAAGTAATAGCGTGCATTCACCTCGGTAGTCTCCTGCCTGTGATCTCTGCTCTTCTGTTCTGTGAGGATCATAAAACCCATTGATGATCCTAATATGCCTCTCAAAGGAAGATGGCCCATTAAAGAAATGTCTCCCTGGCTTTGAGGAAGGAAATAATTTGAAGTGATCTTTTCAAATTTAATTTGCATTTGTTGTTATCCTATCTTAGGGTGAGTAACAATAGACTTGGAATCCCCTTTTGTAATTCTAGAAACTTCTCCAACTAAACTAGTGCCATTCCTGAAAATGGGCAATGTGATTTCCCATCATTTTGAGATGACAAATATAGCATAAACTATAACATAAACTCAATCTATTTGAGAAACAAAAGTACCCCCTATCTTAGAAATAGAAATAAAAATAGGATTGCCTCCTTTTTAATCACTCTGTCCACTGTGTTCCTCAACCTCCCCCAAATGGCCTCCCTCTGTCCTAAAACCTGCTCACTTTCACTGTTATTGCTGTGGTTTGGTTTATGTTGAGATGTTTCACATTTCTTTAAACCTCTTTTGCAATCAAAAGGTGAAAGCTTGATCCCTCTGTGTTCATTAGATTCTTTTGTTGCCATTTGGAAGGGGGGATTCTCCAACACAGGAATTTACACAGGGGCACTTATTTTAATGTTTCAGAAGACATGATTGGACTGAAGATCCATTGTTACATGCTTAGGAATGGAACCTGATCAAAAGTCAGGGAGCATTTTAAAAAATTATCCTGTCATATGAAAGCTTCTTAGATAGCATGACTGTTTTCCTTTCCTTTTGACAGACAAATCTCTGAAAGAAGCCCAGAAGACATGCAGCTTTTTCAGAAAACCTCCCTCTGGCAAGAAGAGACATTCTAAAGAAACAATAGACCAGAAGATACTTAAGTCAAAAAAGTTATTGCTTAAAATGTAAATGGAGGGTTTCCTTTTATTTTTTTAAGAACCTCTAAAACAGTATTTCCTGACCTTCACAATTTTAAGATGGGTAGACTTCAACTTCCCTCGGCTGGGGAATTCTAGGAGTTGAAATCCGCCCATCTTAAAGTTGAGAAACACCAACCTAAAGAAAGTAAGGTGTTGCAACCTGAGCTGAGTTGTAAGTAGGGAAGGGGATGGCAGGAAGAATAGACACAAAACTTAAATTGCTTGATGATCATGCCTGAAAAATGATGCTGCTACATAGAATTCTACAAGGAAGAAACATGCTACATTTGCTTTTGACTATACAATGGTCAAGATCTTTGAGATTTTGTTTAGCTGAGTTGATGATGCAAAAAACATAGCTCTGAGAGAAGATCCGGGGTCAGAATGATGCAAGGAGTACTGCGCTGTTGTACTTAAGTATACAAAACATATATACATGTTTTGTATATATGTGTCACAATACAATGCATGGACAAAAGGAGCAGAGCTTAATCACAACAGTGTGATGCTCATTTTGTCATGCCTCTGAGATCTTGGCTATATCAATAGACATATCAGTCAATTGCTGAGAACCAGACTCGACCTCAACCTCACACACCCTGCCCTCCAAGTTAGCTATACTAAGACTGGGTGATGTCTTTGTCATAAAGATAGATGATGTAAAATAGAATAACATCCTGTGGTTTGCTTTCATTTATGATTACAATAACTGTCTTTTCATGGTTATCTGAGTTGAGAAGTTCTAGAATGAAATCAGATATTTCAGCTTGATATCTGACCCAACCAGTGAATAATGTGCGTCAGACTACTGTATGTGGGAAAGAACAGACAGAGAAGGGGGTATCCAACTCTAGAAATAGGAGGGCCTGAAAAGGATGTCCACATTTACACCACTCTTTGGGTCTACAAACTCATCTCAACTAGCTAGCTTGTGTGTTTTCTGCAGTGTCTGCTATCACTTTTTTTCTTGAACTTTAAGCAAGGACTTTATCTTAATAAATATGACTCTACTTTGCACTTTGACGGATCTAGATAAACTCTTACCCCCAGCGTGCTTTGGATTTATCGGCCTATCAAGCAGTTCTTCTATGACATCATTTATCCTGAGAGCAGCCCAGTCCGTGATATCTATGTTTTCATCTTCATTGCTGATGTGATTAATTTTATTATTACCATCTTTGGATATGGGGCATTTGGGGTAAGTAACAATGTGTTGCTGAAATTTTAACAGAAAGGGTTTGTAGAGTATGTTTTGGTGGTATGGAAAGTTTTTTTTTTTTTTTCAGAATTTCAAACATATCTGCTAATGCTTCTCTCAATGATGAAGAAGAAATACTCATGTGCTTATGATGTGCTCAAAAGCTATTACTATTTTGCTATTACTTCAAAAATTCCAAATCCATGAATGCATTTCATTTTCAAGTTGTTCAGTCCAGAACAATTTCAAGTTCAATGAAATCAATGCTCTAATAAAAGTATCTTTAGATATTTTTGCTGCAAGAATATGTGACTTCTTGTGAATGTATGAATGATAAAGACCCAAGTTGGGTAGTAATTTGAGTTTTCGATTATTGGACCTAGATTTAAATCCCCACTTAATTGTCGAGTTCAGTAGGTGACCTTGAGCTAAGATCTGTTAGCTCATGGAGTCATTGTGACCTTAATAGAAGAGAGGAGAGGACAGGAGAGGAGAGAAGGGGAGGGGAGGGGAGAAGAGAGGAGAGAAGGACAATACTAGAAGAGAATACAGACTGAAGAGGATTGGAATCAGATGCTTTAAAGCAAAAGGCAAACCTGAAGATGATGAGGTATATTTGGAACTGAGTCTATGGAACATAGGATCAATGTGGCTTCTATATGATACAATGAAAATTAGAGAAAATACTGGTTAAATAAACTTATGAAGCTAGATTTAAAAATAAAATGCAAGTCTTTGCTTTTAAAACTTTAAATGATTTTAAATGTCAGTCTAAAGTGTGGGACCATTATAAGTGTGAATATTTTGATCTATTATTTTTATGGTTATTGATACTAATACATATGTCATACTATTCCTTTGGAATAAACAGCACTAAACAAAGTGAGGAAAAACTATATAAAAAGTTATAGGCAAAAGAAACAGGAGTTCAGAAAAAAGAAGAGGAAATTTAACTTAATGTAGTTTTATTTGGCATTATTATGATGATGTTTAGTCATATATGTTTAGCTAAATGTTTAGACTCAATTTGGTATTTTTCCAAATACCAAAGGACCTGGGATAGGCAGAGATTGTTGTTATTGATGTTAAGGGTTTTTATCAGTGCCAATGGTATTCAAGTGGCCTTTCACATATTTTGTCTATTGCTATTGTTGTTTGCTTTCTTTTGTCACTGTGCTATTATTAATTTTTTCTAACATATTTTAGAGGCATTCAGAGGATGATATAGCAGAATCCCTTTTGGAAGATGAAGTCCCTGGACCTTGGCTTGTGATACTCTTGATACAGTTTGGCACCATAATAATTGATAGGGCACTCTACTTAAGAAAGAACACGTTTGGGAAGTGTGTTTTCCAAATGATCTTGGTCTTTGGCGTTCATATTTGGATGTGTTTCATTTTGCCACAAGTAACACAAAGGTATGGCAACATCCGGGAGGGAACTGGGAGTTGCTTCCTGAAAAGTTCCTTTGGGGCTCAATTCAAAAGGGAGATGTATATTTAGTGGGTTAAATGACCTTTATTCTATATGTGTCTTTTCTATGTGCTTCGAGGTATTACTTCAAGTCCTCAAGGATAACCAAGTCTTCTCAGGTTGAGTACCATATTTTGTGTTAATTTGATGTGGTGGGTTGTACAAAAAGTAACAGGTAGGAAAAAGACCCTTTACAAAGCTGAATTATGTTATAGGAACATGTTCCTATAAGGAACATGAAACTTAACAGATGTAATGGTTTCAAATTATTAAGAAATTAAAAAAATACCCAAAAGGTGCTACCAAATTTCTGAAGCAACGAAAGAAGGAATTCTGGAGATTACTCAAAATTATTTAGGTACTGTACATGGCTTATGGTTTACCTAGATCTATTCTAGATCCATGTTGGTGGTTGCACCCACATTGTGGAATGTTTCTTCAGTTGAGGGTAATTTGGCTTTTCATAATTTATTGCTTTCATTATGATTTTAAAGATTGTTTGAAGAATGTATTGTTCTTTAGAGTGAGAGTGTTAAATACTATTTTAGATATCAATGATTCAGTTTAGTATCTTTAGTTCCTTTCAGGCATAAAGTATAAATATTATTTCATTTGAAATGAAAAAAAGACAGTTTTAGTAGTATATAGGTAACTAGTAAGATTACATTCCAAGTGTGTATTTAATAGGTTTCTTCTTCTACTACATTAAATTAATGCAAATTGGTGAAATTGTTTGTGACATTTGGGGGATGCACCTAAAATTTTTGATAGCCATGTATACATGGAACTTGAGTTTATGGTACTTGTGCTGCAGAAAGTATACCCAGATCCAAGCAGTTGAACTAAATATTTGTACTTGGGGATTGTTATGTTTGTTTGCTTGCTTGTTTATTTATTTATTGTGCATGCTTACATTAGTATATCCATGAATAATTCTCTAGGAGAAAAAAAGTCTTATATTCATAGCCATTCTAATGTTTCATAGAATCTGCCCTCAATTCATTAATTAACTGGTGAATATAAGAATTATATGGATGTAGTTCATGTCCCTAATCAAGCTGTAACCATTTACTTTATATAACCTTCGGTTGTTATTAAAGGAATAAAGAAAAGGATTTAATTCTTCTCCTATTTTCTCTCTTCTACCATCCACAACTGGTATCAAAATTTGCAAGATGGCAAGCACAGTGTGGCAATAATAGCCCTGCCCTCTTGGTCCATACATCTATTTAACTCACCTGTACAAAAGTGGCAGAGCTTCATTTTGATGTTGTGCCTGCCATCCTGCAGATTTTGAACTCTTCCCCTGTGAATACATAATGCAACTCTTGTGTAATTAATGACAATTCTATCTGTTCCCCTCACAAGGCTGTACATAAACACTAAATTGAGTAACAGCCAAGAACTAAGAAAATTTTATGGTATATGTAGTTAGAAAAAGTGGGAGATCAGAATGATTTTCTGTTCCTTTGCAGGAGATTTAACAGGAATAGATTGGCTCAGCTGTGGTATTTGGTCAAGTGCATTTATTTTGGTTTGTCCGCATATCAGATCAAATGTGGCTACCCAAATCGGACCACGGGCCACTTTTTAACCAAGAATTACAACTATATAAACCTCCATTTGTTTCAAGGGTAAGTAGTAATTTCATGACAAGACATAAACATGTCCACACCTAGAAGGTGGCCGAAGGGAGATTGGAACTAACTGGAAGGTTTTGGACTCTCATACTAATAAAGTAACTTCAGCAGCAAAAAAGATTTTTCTTTGGCTCAAACTATTCTATTTTTTTATTTGTAATTATTTGAAAGAAGAATTACAAATATCTGTATCAGGATATTATTGGTATCCAGATTAAAGATTGATAGTTCTCTGTATATTTTTCTTTATTCAAAGGAAAGACTTTGAATAAAATTCTAAAAATTAATTTATCAAATGTTTATGTTTGGAATGTTTATTACAAAATGCCAGTCACCAATATCAATTTGCCTTTTTTATTCTCTCATGGATAGATTCCGCATACTACCTTTCTTGATTGAGCTGAAGGCTACTATGGACTGGGTCTGGACTGATTCTACACTCAGCCTGTCCAGTTGGATCTGCCTAGAGGATATTTATGCAAATATTTTCATTCTAAAATGTCAGAGAGAGTGTGAAAAAGTGAGTGGTATTTTTTCTGGATCTTGCTAACTCTCTTCATGCAGGTGACACAGGACAAACCTGCTGGGAACTTTGGAAATTGTAGTGTAAAACTTCTACAATGTGGCAGGTTGAGTGGGCAGGGGAGTCTGGGATGGTCTAGTCGACCTCTGAAATGGTTGGTTTTTATTAGCCATATTACAATAAACATTGTGTTTAAGATTTCCAACTTCTGTGATGATCAGCTTTTGCTCATATCTGAATATTCACAAATGGAAATATGGCCACAACATGTAGTTTTTGGAAACACTGAGATGAAAACACTGAGATGATTGTACATTTGTCAGACAAATCATAAAGGGATTTTGAAATATTTGGTACTGGGAAAATTGAATTGTACCTACAAAAATATGCTTTCCTTGGTTGCTGCTTGATACATATCATTAACATGTCTGCCATGTGGACTTTTTCCTCCTTCGCTAAACCAGGCATGGGCATGGCCAGTGCATCACCCATCTGGCCCGTGCGCTGCGTGTTTGACAGCCCTGACTTAGAGAATGCTGTAAATCACTATGAAGTGGTATAGAAGCCTAATTGCTATTGCTATTATTTCAGTATGTATATGGAGTAACCAAACTCTTTTGTCAATTAACTCCTCTTTCCCCTCCAGAAATATCCCCAACCTCCTGGGCAGAAGAAGAAACCAATTATGAAATATGGGATGGGTGGCTTCACTATCTTCTTACTTGTCTTCATTGTATGGTTTCCACTTCTTCTTATGTCATTGAAATCTGTGGCAGGTGTCACCAACCAGCCTCTGGATGTTTCTGTCAAAATTACCATCAGTGGTTATGAGGTAACAGAGAGGACACTCGACAAGAGAATATTTAAGTCTTTTACAAGTAGCTCCATTTCCATTGCTCAATTTAAATCAATTAAAAGGAGAAGGGAGCTATGGATCTGTGGTTAAGCAGATTCTTGCCTGCAAAAGATTTTTATTTATTACATTAATAAGACCTCATTCAGTCTTTGTTATCTCTATTAGAAAGAATTACACAGTTAGTAATGTGGTAGGTTTTTCTTCCTGATCAGAATAGATCATCTTTTCCCAACTTGCTGACCTCCAAATTCGTGAGCCCATCCTGGAAACTGCAATTCAGCACATCTGAAAAGTATAGGCTAAGAATGGGTGGATGAGGTGGTCAGCTGGATGGGTGGTAAGCTGAAGACTTTAGATGTCTGATAGAAGCCATGATGACATCACAGGTGTCATGATATCATTGCATAAATAACACAAGTTGTGTAATTTGGAAAACGATGCTGTGGGACACCCCCTCCTCCCCCCCTAATGCATTGTTTAGAGATGAATCCAAACAGTTGCATTGCTGTATTATCACAGGGCTAATATAAGCCAACCTACAAGAGTTAATACAGTGAGTTACATTTCTAGCGCAGCAAGTTTGTAATATAGTCTTTGCTTTTTTCTTTTTTTTCTAGTCCTTGTTCACTATGAGTGCTCAGCAACAAAATCTGGTTCCTTTCACTCATGCAGTATATAATCAATTCACTGCTCAATATGCTCTCTATCCTGTAAGTATATATGCACCTTTGTATATACACAATACATGTACTTCTGTATACATACACAAGGACACTCTCACAATGTGAACCACAGGGATCATGTTTCTCCAATGAAATGGTATAATCACAGTAAGATCTCAATACCGGGATTCAAAGATTACGGTATATACCAGTTGTGGTGGTACTGGTGGTTATTGGCACCAGTCGAAAAAATATTGGATGGTACTTTGAAAATCTACACATTGATAAAATTTCCATCTGACAATTACAAAAGATAATTACTGCTTGGATCTGCATATATATTACACCAATACTCTATGACATCTTAGGTTCTTGGGAATTCGATGCTTAATGAAGGCTTTACCAGCTAAAAAACTGACAACTGTTATTTCACATTGTTTTATATATATTAATCAGCTTACATCCTGTGATAATAACTTTAAAATATCATCAAACAACATTTGCCTATCTCAGGTCATTGGGAAGGACTCAATAGATGGATAAAATGCAAAGTTCAGGTTAAGCATCTGATTGTGCAACCAACCATAAAAATAGCTGAGAGTAAGATGAGTGATACCTAAATTAGATAAATAGATGATAGATAGATGATAAATAGATAAATAGGAGAGGGAGGGAGGGAGAGTCTTTTAAAGTAAGTTTGGTACTCTACCATATGTTGGAATTGCAAATTTTGAGTTAGCTGAAAACTCTAAGCTTTGCGATTCCAACATCTTTGGAAGATCTTAGGTTGGAAATGACTTTATTGCGAAGTGTGATTTTTCTATTGTACTTTTAAAACTGTTTTCCAATTTATTTTATGTTCCCTAGTCTGCCTCATACTTTATAGATCGCTATAGCCCAGAGGACATTGTAATTGCTAAAATAAAAGGCAATGCCAGCCTGCTTTGGAGCATCAGTCCAGGGAATCGAAAAGCTATGATCACAGAGCTCTCTAATTCCTCTGCAGTGTATGTCAACTTTCACTGGACTCTTACCAGGTAAAAGAAAAACAAAGAAATGTGTTATATGCATATATTGAAGCCAGCTAGTCCCTAGTTATTGCATTAATTTCCTTCCATTGTGGTCTGGTTCCCATATTCTATTAGGTCCTTTTAAAACCATAGATGGTTCCCCCATAACACTAAACAATGTCAAGCAGATTCAGAAGCATCTCTGCACTTTTCTAAAAAGGATGAAACTTTGCTATTGCAACTTAAGATCTGCCTCTTTGTGAACATTGTGTGTGCAATGTGGTGACCTATGTAGAAGAGATGGGCCTTGCATTATATTCATTTAACGCTGCTTCCATCATTTGTCTGCTCTTAACCTTAGCTTCAAACATCTTGAGGTGGTTTCCCAAATTTCACTGAGGCCAAAGCAATCATATTTTGATGGACCATTAGGTGTAAATCAGACTTGTCACCCTCCTCTAAGGCAAATATTCATTTCCAAAAAGAGGCACTCTTCTTAAATCCCTATTTGTTGGGCTTTCACAAATATGTACAGTCCAGAAAACATTACAAAGATGCATTGTACCTTCCCCAAGTGGCTTCTGTGATGTCAATTTAAGATTTTTGCTCCTTTCCTTATAAAATCAGGAATGCTTCTCTTGTGACGAATACTGAAGCATCTGGTGTACGTACTGTGCGATATGGAGAGAAGGAAATAAGGGACCAAATCGTTCACATGCTCTCTGGGACTCGGACTGAACCAATGTAGGTAGCATTTTTTCTTTTAGTCTCTATTTACAAGTCTACTTTGGTCAATAACCAGTAATGTCTGCAACAAGTAGAGGTGGTGATGCAATTGCATGATTAAATAATGCAATGTCATTGTTTGACTTTTGGGGAAAGACTATTTTGGTATTTCCATTGCTAAGGCTAGGGAGAAATGGTTTCAAATTCAAGTTTGCAATTGTTTTTCTGGCTCTAGGCACAATATTTATTGATCTGGATGGAGGAGATATGATATTTTGTTCCATTTTAGGCAGTAAAATATGTAGGCTGGATGAATGCATTTAAAAAATTAACATTGGTTTGGAAGCTTGTAAAAATAACAATTCTTTTCCCCCCCTCTCAAGTGTACTTCCTGGTGTTCTACCAAAATATCTTAGAGCAACTAATGGGGCAGATGCTAAAACAGCAAACAGCTTGAAAGTTGGTAAGTTTGATGGTTGGCAGGTTAAAATGTGCTGTCTACTTTGAGGCATTGCCTATAATCCTATTTCTAAAGCGCTGTTATGCAACAGACAAATTTTATGACTATTGCTTGGCTGAGTTTTCTGCTGGGAGGAGATACAAAGCCTTTTTTGTATTTAAAATCAAATACATATACACACCCATCATGGCTAGCTAGTTCTTATGTCTTGAAAAAAATATTCTCTTTTAAAGTGGATTTTTAACCTTGTTTTGCTGCTATTTCACATCACAATGAGCTATAATAGTTTGCTTGGATTGGATAGAGGTTATTGCAATGCATGAAAATCATAGTCTATGTTTTAACATCTCACGTGAACTAGATCACTCTGGCTTAATTAACAAACCATGGTTAAAACAAATTATAATTTAATAGGATGGATGAGCCCAGTTGCAGTGGACTACATTTTTTCCTGTGTTTTGAAGCATTTGGAAATAATTGCACACAAATAGGGGAATGCCAGAATGCTGTACAGTTTTGACTGTAGAATCAAAAGATAGAAGATGTGAGCGTGCAAACCACTTTTGACTGTTCATACGTAATAGTAAATCTTCATTTTCAGTCAAATAAGTTATAATGCCCTAAAAACCCTAATAAATGGTTTCACATATTCATATGAAAACAAAACAAAGTAGACTCGATTATAGCTTAGCATTACACACAGCCTAAATCAGTGTTTTTCAAACTTGGCAACTAAGATATATTGATTTTAACTCCCAGAATTCCCCAGTCAGAACCCAGGTCTTTGCTCCCTGTATTACAAGACGTAAATAGAATTAATATCAGCACAGGCATGTGTTTTGTTATGAGGAAGAAAGTGCGGGAAGCAGAGACTAACTTGTTTTCAACAGTTCATTCCCAGAAGTTAGAAGACATTGATGCGATGGCCTTCTTCAGAAATATAACCATAAAGCTGCAGCGTTTGCCAGACAAGGAGTCTTCAAGTCATGTTTCTGAATGGTGGATTGTTAAAGAGCAGAAGCCTCTCTGTTTGGATAACAGATGCAGCAAGAATATGGAGATTATAATTTGTAACGATAAAGTTAGTCCTTCTGGTCTGGGATTCGTCACTGCATATGGGTAAGGATAGTATAGCAACTATTTCCTGCTCTGGCTCCCTAGTCAGCCATTGACAGAATTGGAGTTAAATGAACCTGAAGGCCACTAAGTTGAGGAAGTTGTCCTAGAAATTTAGAGTTTCCTTGGTAGTTGTTATAGCCCACATTTTACAATGTTTTTGAGGTAGTTCTATTGATGGTTGATGCAAACATGCAAAAGGATTTAGCAACTTTCTCAGAAACTAGTGAGAACATCAAAAACAAATCTTATTATGCCACCAATCTTATCTCTATGTTTCATTCATTCACAAGCTGCAGCATGCAAACCTTAGAACTGACCTAAATTTCCCACTATGTACAATTTCAAGAAAGGAAGCAGGAGTGGTCAGGCTTTTTAATTAGTATTGTTATTTTTATACTGTATTTTACACCAAACTGCTAGCTATCCTGTGATTAAAAAACAAGAGTTAACCTTAAATAATAAAAAATATTTAAAAGCCTTAAAATAGCTTTGCTCCAGAATAAAATCTTCTGGGAAAATCCTGTTTAGCAAGTTACTGAACATAGCTTTTACTTATATTCACTAATAGGAAGCACTACATGAGTGGTTTCATCCTATACTGGAACTCATCAGACATAAACAGCCAGATTTTATTCTGTGAGGTTTTAATACTCTACCAGGAATTGAACTCATGGACTATTCCACTATAATACTTTATACAGCAACCATCCAACATTGCAGGAAGAGATGCAGTCTGTCAGAATGGTATATAAAATCCATGATCCCTTGAGCTTCTGAGCAGATATGGGTGTTACATTATGTCATGTGAGACTTCCGATTAGTTCCAATACAGCATGAAATAGGTGACATTGCCTCCTGCCATCCTAAAGTATCTACATTTTGTAAAAATAAGAAAATTTCTCCAAAGGGAAGTTAAAATCATGTAAACATGAGAACATGACCTAATGTAATATCCGTGTGTTTTCGCTTTGAGAGTTTAAGGAAGATGGACTGCATATATAATTTTGATATGGTTGTTGTTAACTGGCAGATTCAACTCTTGGATACTTCACCAGGGTTAAGGTATTCACTTACCAAGGAAGCTCAGTAATTCAAAGACAGGGTGCACATACAAATATACAAATTTGGGAACATATGAGAAATAGTTTGGAAGATAAATTCAGAGGGCCAGAAACAGGAAAATGCATTTCAAACCTTACACTACTCACTCTGAAAATAACCTTGGCTCTTCTTTCCCCCAAACACCAGCATTGCCGGTCTCTATATGTCATTTGTTTTGGTTATTGGGAAATTCATCCGAGAGTATTTCAATGGCCTCTCGCGTTCCATCATGTTCGAAGAGCTGCCCAATGTGGACCGCATCCTGAAACTGTGCACAGAAATCTTCTTGGCCAGAGAGGCTGGAGAATTGGAGCTAGAAGAGCAGCTTTTTGCTAAACTCATCTTTCTGTACAGATCACCTGAAACGATGATCAAATGGACCAGAGAACGCAAGGAAAAATAAAAAAGCAACATGGATGGGAGATTACCCCTAAGGAACTCTACAAAAAACGGGGCCTTTACTTGGGAGTTGGGCATCATTCCACAGGACATCAAGGCAATGTTGTTTTGGTGTATTGGATATTTATTGTACATGTATTGCATTAGGGAGGTGTGCAACTATATGTGAGATTTAATATCCAGGGTGTGATATGCAGTTTTATATTGCACAGAGATTGGAATTTATAATGCTGAACAGTGATTTAGGCCAGGGAAAATCCTCAGTCAGTGGAAAATGCTTCTATGATTCCCCCCCCCCCTTCCTTTGATTGTATGCAGTCAGTTGAACAGGGCAGTAAAATTAGCAATGAATTAGGAATTACGTCTTTAATTTGTCAAATAATTGTGGCATGAACAAAATGAAATGTTACATAGGCATACAAATAAAATACAGTTTTGTATCCTGGGACTTTCTGTGTTCTCTCTTGCCCACTAAGATTCCCAGATCGTCACGTCCATGTTTAGTGGTAGATATTCCCATATGGTGGTAGAACACAGAATAATGACTTTGCCCTAGGAAAACAAGAGTCTGCCTGAAGGTTAAAAAGTTTTTTAAATAGTGACAGCACTTTAATAATGGAACCAATTATCTATAAAGATAATAACTCCCTTATGCTGGATATATTCAAGCAGAAACTGAATATCTGTCATAGGCGCTATGATTCTTGCAGTGAATACCTAATTGGATACTCATTAACACTAAGGTTTTAATGTTAGTAATGGGTTAAAAGATAGCATGGTCCTACTTTAGGCCTTTGACACAAAAGGTAAAGTAAAAATGCATTAGATCCAGCCAACCCAGCCCTTTGTTTCCAGAAAGGACTGGCTCTTCTTGGAACCACCATGGTCCCAATTGCTCTCATGACCTATGAGTTATTAACTGCTCCAGTTGCATTTAGCTGCCTTCCATCAATATAGCAATCTGTGTATCTTCCATAAATTTCTCTAACATCTTTGGAACACCTCCAGGGATTAGCAGAAAAAATGCATTGTAAATCTGATTTAAAAACCCAAACAATGTTGAAATAGGAAAAGCTTTATTCTGATGTGGTTACCTCCCACAAGGTCTTTAATTCTAAACATTAATGTAATTCATTAGCATAAGCATGTTAAGAACTTCATGGACATGTGCACTGGGTCACACTGATAAAATAATCATGCAAGAAAGGCAAGTGAGGGAGAATTTTGTTTAAAGCCTATCTTTAAAGAAAGAGATTAAGGCCTCCATTAATGTCATGGGACAGCAGAGCCCAAAGTGATTCTTATCCCAAGACTGCCATCTTACAACTTCAGCAGACGTTGGGCTTCCCATTTCCCAGTGTGATGCAAGGCAAGAGAGTCATTGTTCCTTCCAAATTTTCCTCTTTAATTCCTGCTCACCTACCTGCAGGGACCAAAAAGCAGGTTCAGTTGTCCAAGAACAGGACAGAAGGGAAATGGAGTCCAGAGGCAGAATGGCTGGAAACAGAGTGCCTTTAACCATGAAGTATGGACTTGGTCACAACTTTAAGATGTGTGAGCTTTAACGCCTAGAACTCTCCAACCAGCCAGGTTGAAGTCTACACATTTTAAAGGTGCCCAGATTGAGAAACACAGGTCCAGTCTGTATGGTGACAACTATGTGGTGTTTCCCCCTCTACTGTATACATTTTGAAAGACAAGGGGCTAAGGAAGCCCTGACAAGAGTGAGAATCCAGGAAACTAACTCAAAAAACTCTATAGGAAGTAAGAGGTCAAGCAGTTGTAATTAATAGGCTCAGATAGCTTTTGAAAGGGAAGAGATGAGAAACACTTCTAGGCCCTCCACAACAAGGGCCGGGAGCTGCAAAGCTGTTACACATTTGCAAAAAAACCCTAGAAAATAATGCAAACCATTCTTAGAAACCAGTAGGACTGGACTTTTCATTGTCAGGGAAAACCAGAATACAAGCGACCACAACTTTTGTGTCTATTTTCTTTTACACTTTAAATGGCCATTTCTGACACATGCTATTTTAGATTTTAGGAAATTTGATCAGTGCTAAGTGAGGTAATTCTGGCATGCCAGCTCCAAAATAGGGGGAGGAGGGGAATTAAACCAAGCGCCGTCTCTTGCAATCTCTCCCCATGCCGTCTTCCAAGGGGTCACCGCTGCAGCCCAATGGTGAGACCATATTCAGCAGAGGGTCTTCAGAGGCACGGCCAAAGAGTGACAGCAACAAAGCCACACCGTAGCCAGTGGCTCTTTCTCCCTAGAGGCAAACAAAAAGGCATCTCAGATGGCTAGCCTTTGAGCCCAAACACACACACACACACAAACATTAGGAGAAAGCTCTGAAAGCTGATGCCAAATGTCCATTCACACAAGTGGCTTGTTTGGGATTGGCTTTGGCTATTGTGTGAACCAAAACCACATGTGTTTATTCAGTAAGTTCTAGTTATCCAAATGTAGCATAAAGTTTGCACACATGAATCTACAGTTACATTTTTTAAAAAAGAAAATACAATGAAGCACATCTGTAGGCATCCCTTTCGTGACTGAACATAAGGCATTAAAAAAAAACTTGTGATATTTAGGTTTACAATTTGAAGAACATTCAGGTTACGTAGATTTTGTCCTTTACATTTTTAAGAGGAAAAAGTGTAATTCATACTATCAGATGGTTGAGAGCCAACTTGGTATAGTGTTAAGGCACCAAACTAGGAAATGATAGTCCCACCTTAGACACTGGATGACCTTGGGCGTCACTCTCTCTCAGCCATTGGAAGAAACAATAGCAAGTGCCACTTTCAAAAATTGCCCAGTAAATTGAAGGGATTTATTCAGGCAGTCAATAGGGATTGAAGCTGACTTGAAGTTACTACCACAACCAAAATAACAACAACAATAATAATAAAATCTCAAAACATCTGGAGCATCGCTTGAACACCATTGGCATTGACACCATCAGCTTGCAAAAGGCAGCTTTACTTGGAACAGATTGCGTCATTTAACAACATGAAACAACATTTGCTATTCCAGGTCCTTGGGAAGGACTCGATAGATGGATAAAAATGCCAAATCCGGTCTAAACATCTGGCTGACTATATAATCAACCATAAGACAGATAATAGTTTGAAGAATTTTTCTATCTAGCTCAACCTATACAAATTTGTTTGTTTTGCATCACAAACAGAAAGACAGAAGAAAAGGGTTCAAGGAAAAGATGTAAAGATCAACCACCTGCTTATTAAAAGAATTAAAATGGAGAAAGCAACTGTAACATCCACAATATTCCATTGCAGTTGTTTTTTCTTATTGTAACTTGGACTATTATTAGGAATCATCACTGAAGAACAAACTGTTGTTTAAATTCTTCCTAAAACTAATATAAAGAAACCCTACACATAGCTCCCAGGAAGAATATTTTACAATATTTTGAAAGAATACGGCATGAGTGAGTTTGCTGAACCTTTAAAATTGTTAACAGCACTAAAAAGTGATTTACAACCAGACTTAGCAGTTACGAGCAATATGACCAAAGTCACATGATCATAATTCAGGCATCTGACAACCAGAATGTATTTATGACGGTTGTGGTGTCCCAGGATCATGGGTCCATTTGCAACCTTCCCAGCCGGATTCTCACAAGCAAAGTCAATTGGGGAAGCCAGATTTGCTTAATGACATGATTCATTTAACACTTCAGTGACTTGTTTAACAACCATGGCAAAAAAAAGGTTGTAAAATTAGGCAGAACTCACATGACTATCACCTTGCTTAGCAATGGAAATTTGGTTCCCAATTGCGGTTGTACATCAAGGATTATCTTTATCACATTCCAGAAGTATTTCTTGAAGCAATGGACTATTCCCAACACTTGATTCAAGTGAGAATAACAATAGCAATAATAGCAGTAGACTTATATACCGCTTCATAGGCCTTACAGGCCTCTCTAAGCGGTTTACAGAGAGTCAGCATATTGCCCCCAACAATCTGGGTCCTCATTTTACCCACCTCGGAAGGATGGAAGGCTGAGTCAACCCTGAGCCGGTGAGATTTGAACCGCTGACCTGCTGATCTAGCAGTAGCCTGCAGTGCTGCATTTAACCACTGCGCCACCTTGGCTCTTAAGCCTACAATTACTGCCAGTTATGACTTGAATGTACGGTTTTTAGTTTCCAGATAACCGTCAAGGACAGCAGTCATAGATGCAACTTACTCAGTGGTGAAATTCAAAATTTTTAACTACCTGTTCCGTGGGCGTGGCTTGGTGGGCGTGGCAGGGGAAGGATACTGCAAAATCTCCATTCTCTCCCCACTCTGGGGCCAGCTAGATGTGCTATTTGCCAGTTCTCCAAACTACTAATTTCTACTACTGGTTCTCCAGAACCTGTCAGAACCTACTGAATTTCACGCCTGAACCTACTCCAGAAATCTAACCCAGAACCATGAAATCACATAGCGAGATTGTATGTATTGATTAGTTAAAAAGAATAGAAAAAAGAAATGGATAAACTGTTACAGAGGGCAAAACATTAAGAGGAAAAAAAACCTCTGTGTTTTATCATAAATTATCATTTATGTAGCAGGAAAAAGGACATAAATAACTGGGACAAAACTCCAGAGAGAAAGCCATGCAGCGCACAGAGCATTAAGAAAATCCTCTTTACTCACCGCATGGACGGGAGCTGCAATGTCTATGTGGACCCAAACACCAGGCCAATCAAAACCAATGTGTGAAGCAATAAAAAGTCCAGCACAGGAGCTAGGAGAGTTATCTCGATCCTGAAGAAAAACACAACACAGGGGAATTGCCTTTAGTTCATTTCAGTCTGCTTTAGAACAGCAGTCCCCAACCTTTACGGCATGGCGGGGGGGGGGGGGGGGGGAGAGGGAGGGGAACTGGGCCGCGTGAGGACCAGGCTGGCCGGTACCAGAGGAGGTGGGACATCGCTATGTGGCTGCTTGCCATAACAAGGAGGAGGTGGGACATCGTTGCAGAGCGGCAGGGGGGGGGGGGAGGGGGATCGGGCCACGTGAGTGTGGCAGGCAAGTTGAGCTGTGCATGCATGTGCACTGGCCTGCCACTTGTGTGGCCTGATTGCAAATAGGCCATGGTCCAGTAGTGGCCTGTGGCCTGGGGGTTGGGGACCTCCTGCTTTAGAACACCAAATTTAAAACCGAGACATGGGGGTCTGCAGAGATGAATACATGATACTCATTTACTGGGCGATGTTACCAGGCAAATGCAGTGATGACTGACTGTCTTATCCGTGTATGACTTGGACTGTTTGATGGACTCTGATACCTCTATCTCCA